TTGCCTGCAATGCCACCTTCTAGAGAGAACTGTTAACGTTTTGTGGCATATCGATATGTATGTAAATTGTATTTAATTTTTTTTAAAAAGGATTGTGTCATGCACATTCTTTGATAACCTCATTTTTAAACTTAACAGTTTAATAAATATCTACCTAAATAAATATTATTCCCTTCTGTGGATATGCCCATTTCCTATTATCTGACACGGTGTACAATTTTTGGCTATGAAGCAGTGCTGTTACAAATCTCACAAGAGTCTTACTAGTTTCCTAGGAGGATGTTTTATAAATGAAATTGGTGGGTCAAGTTAATGCACAGTTTTTAAAGTATCATATTGTCAAATCACCTCCAGTGGTACAACGCTTAGAATTAATGTACTTCATACTGCGTTTGAAATCCCACTGCCTGTAAAAGAGCTAAGTTATTATTGTCTGCATTTTATAACTATTATCTTCCCTCTGGCATTACATTTTTTCAGATGAGTATGTTATTATTGTGTTTTTTTTATGACCAGCTGAGTTTATCACTAAATAGCATTGCAATGAAATTTAGTTATTATCTACCTCATAATCTTAAGTAATGGAAGAAGCATGGCTAAAAACAAATTCTTTTCAAAGATAATTTTGAGGATAAGAGAATAAAGGTAGGTTCCTTAGCATTTATCACTGTGCATATCATGCTTATTTTGTGAGGAAATGATAAAATGTATAGGGGACCATTTGTGACGTATCATATTTCCCAGTGGTCTTTATTTTTGATTGATTGATTGAGACAGAGTGTCGCTATTGCCCGGGCTAGCTCACAGCAACCTTAAACTCCTAGACTCAAGTAGTCCTCCTGCTTCAACCTCCCAAGTAGTTGGGACTACAGGCACTTGCCGCCATGCCTGGCTCATTTTTTTTCTATTTTTAGTAAAGACAGGGTCTCGAACTCCTAACCTCATGTAATCCTCCTACCTTGGCCTTCCAGAATGCTAGTATTACAGGTATGAGCCACCACGCCTGGCCTTTCCTAGAGGTCTTGAGAGAGAATTTTGGGCTTGAGATTAAAAAATGTTATTCAGTCTTTTAAGAAAAATTTCTAATTACTCTAATTTCTAATGTATTTTTCTGTAGAAAATTATGTGTGGTGTATTTATGAATATAAATACAATTTTGAAGACTTTTTTCATTTAACGTTAACATTTCCATGAGTTTCCCTTCAGTTTTTTTTTTGAGACAGATTCTCACTCTCTTGCCCGGGCTATACAGTGCCATGGCATCAGCCTTACTTACAGCAGCCTTAAACTCCAGGGCTCAAGCGATACTTCTGCCTCAGCCTTCCAAGTAGCTGGGACTACAGGCGTGCACCACCATGCCCAGCTAATTTTTTAAAATATATTTTTAGTTAGCCAATTAATTTGTTTCTATTTATTTATTTATCTATTATATTATTCTATTTAATCTATTTATTTATTTTCTATTTATTTATCTATATTTATTTATTTGTTTGTTTCTATTCTCTAGACCTGTCTAGAGACAAGTCTTGCTCTTGCGCAGAGCTGGTCTCAAACTCTTGAGCTCAAATGATCTGCCAGCCTTGGCCTCCAGAGTGCTAGGATTACAGGCGCAAGCCACTGCTCGGCCCTCATTTTTTTAATGAAAATGTTCATACATAAAGAGAGATTAAAAGAGAAGTACAGTGAACATTCATGAACTTGCCAGCTAGATTTAAAATTGTTAACATTTTTGCCATATCTGCTTTATCTCTATACATAGTTTATACTTCTCTTTGAAATTATTTTTTTAAGTACCATTTTGTTTTTTGTTCTGTTTTTTTTCCAGCGATAGGTTCTTGCTCTGTTGCCAAGGCTGGAATGCAGTGAGTGGCACAATCACAGCTCACTTGAGCCTGAAACTCCTGGGCTCTAGTGATTCTCTCATTCTAGCTTCCCAGGTAACTGGGACTACTGGCAAGGGCCACCATGCCTGGTTATTTTATTTAGGTATTTAGTTGGTTAGTTAGTTATTTGAGATAGAGTCTTGCTATGTTGCCCAGGCTAATCTTGAATCCTGGTTCAAGTGATCTTCCCAACTTGGCCTCCCAAACTGCTGGAATTACAGGCATTAGCCTACTGGCCCAGGTCTGGAGTTATTTAAAAATAAATTACAGATACCACATTTATCAACTAGGTACTTCAATATTTATCTTCTAAGAATAAGAGCATTTTAAAGAATATTCTTTATAACTACAATATCATGACACTTAAGAAAATTAGTAACTTCTTAATATCTAATATCTAGTTCATATTTCATATTTCCTTGTTGCCCTGAGAATGCCTTTTATAACTTTTGTTTTAAAAGGACCTAATCTAATTAAGGTTTATGTATTAGTATTTAGTAATTTGGTTATATGTGTTTTTACTCTCAATCTAGAATAGTCCATCTTTTTAAAATACTTTAAAACACTTTTTTTTTCATTATTTAGAGAATACTTTATTAGTTTCTGTAATCAAACCCATGTAGATAAGACCTTACATATTTAATACAGTGCGTTACCCCTGTACAAATGGAAAAAAAAAATTAAGTTTAACGTTTCTAGACCAATATGGCTTAAAACACTTTTTGAAGTGTCTAGGCTACTCCAAAATGTGAAGCACCTGGAATTTCTTTGTATTTGTAAAACGTATTCCTATAACCCTTCTGTGTAGTTATTACTACTTAATAAATTACCCTAAAACTTAGGGACTTAAAACAACACATGTTTATTATCTCAAATTTTCTGTGCTTTGGGAATCTTGGCATAGCTTAGCTAGGTCCTCTACTTCTTTATGTGCACAGGAGGCTCCAGTCATAGTGTCAGCCAAGGCTGGTATCTCATCTAAAGGCTTGACTGAGGAAGGATCCATTTTCAAGCTCACATAGTTGGTATTTAGTTCCTGTGAGGTTGGACTGAGGAACTAGTTCCTAGCAAGCTATTGGCGAGAGACTGCGCTCAGTTTCTTTCCGTATGGGCTTCCCTACCATTGCAACTTGCTTCATCAAAGACGGCAAGGGAGAGAGTCTGTTAGAAGGACCAAAGTTGGCATCTTTATAATCTAATCACAGAAGTGACGTCTCAACATCAAGGTATTTTATTGGTTGAAGCAAGTTACTCAAGGGGAGTGGATTATACAAGGCTATGAATACCAGGGGTAGGGATCATTGGGGGCCACCTTAGAGTCTGCCTGCGACACCTATTTCCTGTATACTGAAAGCTAGTTCCAGAGGCTTGGTTAGATTGAGATTAAACTATTTTGACAAGAATACTTTAGAGATGAGGTGTACTTGTTATTTTGATTTGAGGGCATTATATTTGAGCTTCCTTAGGGAGTAATAAGGTGGGTAATGGAAGCTGTAAACAGGAGAGAGCTCACTCAGGCCTTCTGGAAGGGCTGGTATAGTCGTAGGCCTAAAATGAGGTGCTGAGGCTTAAAACTTGATCTTGCATTTCCTGGACACATTGTAATAAATCAGAAAAATAAATATTCAAATGGCAGTGTTTACTACAATGGTTTGCAACTTGATTTAAATCAAGCCAGTTAAGTAACAATACAAAGAATAGGCTTAAATTTAGGTAAACTAGATAGCATGCATTATGTAATTACTCTATGATAGTTGTATATGCATAATTTATCATTGTCTCTATGAAGTAGGTACTTTACAGGTGAAGAAACTGAAAGAGGTCAAGTAAATCTATATTACAAGTCTGTAGTAACCAACAATAGGGAAGAGAATGGTATTTAATAAATGATGTTGGCAAACTGGATATTAATATGGAGAAAAATATTTTGTGGTAGCCACTTCACTTTATTATAACAGCAGCTATGGGCCGGGCGAGGTGGCTCATGCCTGTAATCCTAACACTCTGGGAGGCCGAGGTGGTTGGATTGCTCGAGGTCAGGAGTTCGAAACCAGCCTGAGCAAGAGTGAGACCCCATCTCTACTATCAATAGAAAGAAATTAATTGGCCAGCTAATATATATAGAAAAAATTAGCCGGGCATGGTGGTGCATGCCTGTAGTCCCAGATACTTGGAAGGCTGAGGCAGCTGGATTGCTTGAGCCCAGGAGTTTGAGGTTGCTGTGAGCTAGGATGACACCACGGCACTCACTCTAGCCTGGGCAACAAAGCGAGACTCTCTCAAAAAAAACCAGCAGCTATGGTGGCTGGTAGTGCCATGTAAGGTTGACACAGATCAGAATAAAGTGGTCTTAAGCCATCAAACCACATCTCTTTCATTCCTGTGTCCTCAAAGGAACTAATAAATTCAAGAAATGTTTTCTTCTATTATCATTTAAATTTTTCAATAGTAAAAGCAATCAGAGGTAGAATATAGTGAAATAACACGTTTGTCTTTGCAGTTCAAAAGGCATACATTTCAATAACATTTCTACCACTTACTAAACAATTAAAGCAAGTTGCTTAACCTCTGCCCCAGTGTAATCGTCTGTACAGTAGGACCTTGTAAGGCAGAAGAATAAGATATTTATGTAAAAGCCTAGCAAAATGACCACCACATATGTGCTTTGCCAGTGTTGCTTCCAAAGACAATACAAGGCTACCATCTTTAAGAAAAGAGTGACTGCTGTGTATAAACAACATCCAAAAGGAAAAAAAAAAGTTAATTAGGTTTCATTTATATTAGGAGAAAGTGCCCATGGAGAGTAATCCTGAGAAATTTTTATAAAATTGTTTGGAACTCTGAACACAAACATCCTTATACTTCTTTTAAGCTCCCTATAATGCCACAGGACCTCGCCATTAAATAATAAAAGGTGTTTCTGTTGGAATGTAAGAATCACATCTACTCATACTATAGCCCTAGTAGTGGTCTCAAGATTTCTTGTAAGTCCTCTTTTCTGTGCACTGAATAGTGACAGTATCAAACCAGTTTTGAAAACTTATGGCTAGCAGAGAAATAGTTCTAGAAAGTGTACATATCAGTTAACTGTAGCCACAGTGATACTGTGCAACTAGCAACAACAAAAATAATGACATTTATTTAGTTTAGTAGTTACAACTTTGGGGTTGGCTGGTCCTGGCTGGGCTCATTCATGTGTCTGCAGGATGGCTAAAACTCTGCTTTAGATGGGGCTTGGCTGGGGAGTTTAGTGCAACTCAGCTCTACTTGTTTCTCATCTTCTGGGAATAGTTGGCCACTCCAGGTATATAATTTTCATGGTGATGGTGGAAGCACAAGACTCAACCATCCTAACTCCACAGCTTTTTTTGAGACTCCACTTGCTGCGCATCCACTTGGCCAAAGTAAGTCAGATGGCTGAGCTCAAGGTCAGGGAATTGTTTCTCACCTGTAACAGGAGGACATTGCTGAATTACAAGGCAAAGAGCAAGGATACAGGGAGAGGTGAAGAATTGAGGTCATTAATGCAATTTACCACAGTGATGTTATAGAAGCTATATGGGTCCTGAAATGTTCAGTTCAGAATTCTAAGCTAAAAATAAAACCTAAGCCCTTCCCCCAACTAAATGGACCCCCTCTTTGCCAAGAAGACCCCAGAAAAATCTTAAAATTGAGTTCTCAGCCATGAAGTTAAGGAAGATTGGACACACCTCCTTATACCTGCTCCCTTTTGAAGTTTAGGCTAAATGCAAACTGGACCTAAAGCCATGCATAGTGAAAGTTAAGTCACACCGTCAGGCCATCAATTTGCTTAACAGATCACTTTGAATCATTATTATTGTGGCATGCTTTCTGATTAGCAGATTCCCTTAACTCAAGCATTCTTGAATTATTCTTGCAAATTATTAATGCAAAATTATTTTCTTTTAAACTTTACTGGCTTACGCCTATAATCCTAGCACTCTGGGAGGCCAAGGCAGGTGGATTGTTTGAGCTCAGGAGTTCAAGACCAGCCTGAGCAAAAGCGAGACCCCATCTCTACTAAAAAAAAATAGAAAGAAATTAGCTGGATATTTTTGCAGGTAACTCAGAAGATTAAGATGTTTTCATTAAACCAATAATATTCGATTAGTCTTATCAAAAATCATACAAAGATCATTTTGTTTCTGACTGGGTTTATAATTTTAAAACCTTTGTGTCATACCCTGACATTTTAAAATATCTATCAGAGACAATATAAAACAACAATAAACCCAGGCAAAAATGCATACTGAAAATTTTGAAAACATTTTTATTTTTACTTTACCAATAATTTTTTTAAAAAAACAGCTTATTTACCAAAGATTAGTAAATTCACATGAACTTGAAAAACATTTGTGATTATCTACTTAATTTATGAGCACTCTTTTATTTATAAGCAATTTGGTACCATGTAGATACAACATATAGTACATATACATAAAACACATCTAAACAAATATACATGCACAAAAACAAAGATCCAGTAGCTTTTATTTTGAAATTCCAGCAATGAGATAGCAATACTAACTCACTAGTTTACAAAAGATGGTTGAATGCAAATTATTTCTGACAAAATTCTAACTTTTTCACATGACTAAAATTTATTTGCCCAGATAGGTAGCATAATGAAAGCTGTGGACAAAAATTTTGGGTAAAGTCATTTCCATGGCTATTTGATTTTATTTATTATTTTTTGTGGAGACAGGGTCTTGCTATGTTGTCTAGGCTGGCCTTAAGCTCCTGGCTTCAAGAGATCTTCCTGCCTCCATCTCCCAAAGCTCTGGGATTACAGGCATGAGCCACTGTGCCCCCAAAATACTTTTTTTTGTCTAGGTTTACCATTAGGTTGTCCTGTTTTGTTTTGTTTTGTTTAAATATTTTTTAGAGACAGGGTCTCTGTCACCCAGGCTAGAGTGCCACAGTATTATCATAGCTCATTGCACCCTCAAACTCCTGGCATTAAGTGGTCCTCCTGCCTCAACCTCCCAAGTAGCTAGGATTATAGACACATATTACAGTGCTCAGCTATTTATTTTTATTTTTATTTTTGTATTGACAGGGTCTTGCTGTGTTTCCCAGGATGGGCTTGGACTCCTGGCCTCCAGCAATCCTCTCACCTTAGGCTTCCCAAAGTACTGATTGCAGGCATGAGCCACCATGCTTGGCCTGATTTTAAAAAACCTTTTATCCCTTTTTTTTTTTTCATTTTCAAATGAGTTTTTAATGTGTACATTTTAACTAGAACTGGCTGAAGTATACAAGAAAAAGAAGATTTCTTAGTAGGCTTGAATTAGTAATACCATAACCAGTGAGTTTTATCTCAACACCAATAGACAGCAGATTTAGTGTAGGCAGAAAAGAAATTAGAGAGATAGATGAACTTAAAAAGACTTGACCTTTTAACTCTATAGTTGCAGGTTAAATGTTTGAGCTCTGAATTTTTCTTGATGTAGTTTGCCCAACAGTTTAAAAATGTGTTCAAGAATAGACTGGCCATACTATATAACCAGCTAGAGTCCTAGAAAACCCGACAAGCCTGTGAACCTTTCCATCTAAAAAAATATTTTTAAGTATATGTACAATAAACCAACTGGGGTGCCTGCAGGGGGTCATTCTTGTTTTTCCTCATTTTTAGAGTATTTGTTTCCTACTTTTTTCTTTTTCTTTTTAAAAGAGGAACTGAACTGTAATCTAGGGTTTAGTGTAGTTGAGCTGAGAAGCCCAGTCTCTCATTCATCTACAAAAAGGGCAGTTCAGTTTTTTGCCCGAGCCAATTGATACTAATTTTGAGAGAAAGAGGCAGTGGAGAAGACTCTTTAGTATGCACCTCCAAATCAAAATTACTAACCCAAACAACAACTTCTTAGGAAAAGAACAGAGAGCTCAGAATAAGCAAGGACGATCAACCAAAAGCATGAGGTCTGGAGCTCAGGAGGATGTACCAGTTCATCTCAAGGAGAAGCTCTGCGTTGGAGGGCTCAAGGGGAGACGATACCTAGTACCATGTTTGGCTTACTGCTTTGGGAGGTCCCTAGTCTTCTCTGAGCCTTATTTTGGGCACAAGAATTAACAGACAAACAAAACAAACTAGAAAATAATTTAAAGAGGTTTATCCTTGGCAAATATGAATGGCCATGGCTCAGGGATCCACAAATCCAAGAAACCTTGAGTAATTAGTATCCTGAGTAAGTAATTTACCTGCAATTCCTGTCTCCATAAATGCACGAAACCAAACTGTAACCCAGCTGCCTCAGGAGCATTTACTCTGGGTTGGATTTGTGGATCCCTGGGCCCTGGTTACTCATTTTGACTCAGAACAAACCTCTTTAAATTATTTTACAGAAGTTGTTTTTTTTCTGTTAGCAGAATTTTAACAAATATTTGACTCCCTAGCTTGTTCCAAGCAATGTATTAGGTGTTGAGACTACAAAGATGTGCAGTACATGACCTCTGTTCATGGGAACTAATAGTGTATTGGAGAGGATATTGAGCAAGTGCTTGCAGTAAAGAGTTTTGGATACTCTGTAGGGAGAACAATGGGTTACAAAAGAAGTGGTTAAATTCAGCAGGATTGATTATGGAAGTGACTTGGAAAGGTTTTAAATATTAGGTCATACTTGAATCTTATATACAGTAAGATAGGTAGAACTAGGGTCGTTGAATAGGCCTGGAGGGTATAGTTCTAGGAGAAAGATGTACCTGATGAGAAAAATGCTCTTCAGATCATGGAAGGTCTTACATGTTGTACATTGTATTAATTAGGACTTTATGTTGTAACTGAGAGATCAGCTTAATGGTAAAAAAAAAAAAAAAAGAATTACATTGGCTCACTAATGATGATAGCATCAGGATTTTCTATTTCTTGTTTCAGCAAGTATCTTTTGTCAGCCTCATTTCCTTAGAATCAATCAGGAGCCAGAGAACATGTCAACTAGCAGCTATGATGTAATTTCCTTACAGTTCATCACTTAAGGTGAAAGAGCAAATTTTTCACCTAGTATCTCTTTGTAAAATCCCAGTACTGATTGACTCTAGCATTAGTGTATGCCATCCCTGGCAGTCATTATCAATGCTTAGTGTGTTGCTGAAAATGGCATATGCATACCAATCTCTGTACATCCTCCCATATACTTTTTCTGGAGGCAGAAAAAGCAGTCTGCATTTGTTTGCAGAGTTTTAAGTCTGAACAACTTTTAGTGCTGGGCCTTTTAAGCTCTAATGTAATAGGTTGAACACATGAAATTGTCAAAATTCAACCACCTTTGACCTACAAAATAAGGCAATTTCATATGGTTCAACTTAAATAGACAACATCTCTCTGGCTCTAAGTCAGCTTTGTGATGTGTCTATGCCATGTTCTTAGCATGAGTCAAAGTTCTTTCCCTGTCCTGTGCTCTGTAGAATCCCACGTAGAAAGCAGTTTGTACCTGTGGCTCCAAAGCCCACTTGATTGTCAGTGTCAGAGTAGCAGCTAAGTCTCTCTGCCCTGTGATGTAAGAGCACTGTAAGCCTCCTATTAATCTCCTTTTATTAAAGACTAGTTTCTAGCCATTACTTTTACTAGGTACTTTTACTCCCATTATCTAGTGAATTCATATAATCTTTTATCAATCTCGTTTTCCACCTGAAATTATTCAATCATTCACTCAAGCAGTTTTAATCAAGAATCTACTATGTGCTAAATTTTTATTAAGGACAGTGGGTATTGGGAATACAGAAGTAAACAAAGTTCTTAATTTCATGGAGCTTACATTTAAGAGGGAGACAAATAAATATATGTAAGACCAGGTATGGTGGCTCACACCTGTAATTGTAGCATTCTGGGTGACTGAGGCGGGAAGATCACTTGACCTCAGGAGTTTGAGAGCAGTCTGAGCAAGAGTGAAACCCCAACTCTACCAAAAATAGAAAAAAATTAGCTGGGACATGGTGGTACCAGTTACTTGGGAGGCCGAGGCAGGAGGATCACTTGAGCCTAGGAGTTTGAGGCTGCAGTGAGCTATGATGATGCCACTGCACTCTAGCTAGGGTGACAGAGCAAGACTCTTGTCTCCAAAAGAAAAAAAAAATACATACATCTATATATACACACACACACACACACATATGCGTGCACACGTGTGTGTGTGTGTGTGTGTGTGTGTGTGTGTGGTGGTGTTAAGAGCACTGAAGAAAGGCTGGGTGCGGTGGCTCACACCTGTAATCCTAGCACTCTGGGAGGCCGAGGCGGGCGGATTGCTCAAGTCAGGAGTTCGAAACCAGCCTGAGCAAGAGCGAGGACCCGTCTCTACTATAAATAGAAAGAAATTAATTGGCCAACTAATATATATAGAAAAATTAGCCGGGCATGGTGGCGCATGCCTGTAGTCCCAGCTACTCGGGAGGCTGAGGCAGGAGGATTGCTTGAGCCCAGGAGTTTGAGGTTGCTGTGAGCTAGGCTGACGCCATGGCACTCACTCTAGCCTGGGGAACAAAGTGAGACTCTGTCTCAAAAAAAAAAGAGCACTGAAGAAAAATAAAACAGAAGAATGAAGAATGGCCTATTATCTTTTTTCCTTTTTTTTTTGAGACAGAGTCTCGCTTTGTTGCCCAGGCTAGAGTGAGTGCCATGGTGTCAGCCTTGCTTACAGCAACCTCAAACTCCTGGGCTCAAGCAATCCTTCTGCCTCAGTCTCCCGAGTAGCTGGGACTACAGGCATGGCGCCAACATGCCTGGCTAATTTTTTTCTATATATATTAGTTGGCCAAGAATGGCATATTGAATGAGAATGGAAGCACTTCCTATTATGTACTTTCTTATTGTTTTTCCCTACTAGAATATAAACCTATGTTCCTTCGCTATCACCAGTGGTAGAACAATGCCTAGAACAAGTGTATGGGAGGATAGACAAACACTGGGATTCATCTGCCAAATTCATAAATACTCTATAGCAATCTAGTAAGAAATGCCTTGCCTCCTTGGTCCAGCTGAAGAAATAAGAAAATTATTTGACAGGTAGCTGTAGAACAAAGTGGAAACCCAGAAGTGTCTCAATTGATTTTATAAGAGAATAACTGGCAGCCAGGAATTAATAAACAACTAGTTCTATCCAGGCTACTACATATCATTTTGGGATTGTATTAGTTAGCTCAGGCTGCCATTAACAAAAGACCACAAACTGGATGGCTTAAACAATAGAAATTTAGTTTTTCACAGTTCTGGAGGCTAAAAGTCAAAGATCAAGGTGCCATCTGGGTTGGTTTCTGGTGAGGCTTTTCTTTCTAACTTGTGGATGACTGCCTTTTTGCTGTGTCCTCACATGGCCTTTCCTGTGTGCATATTGAGGAGAAAGGAGAATCTCTGCTGTCTCTTCTTGTTCTTCTTCTCTTTTTTAATAAGGATACCAGTCATTTTAGATTAGAGCCCTAACCTTAAGACCTCATTTAACCTTAATTACCTTCTGAATGCCCCTATCTCCAAATACAGTCACTTTGAAGTTAGGGCTTCAACACAGGAATTTTGTTAGTACACAATTCACTCCATAACAGGGTCATAAACATTACATGTTATTAATTTTATGTATGTATCCTGTCTGTGAACACAACTGTTTCATTTTTTTCTGATATGATACGTAATGAGGCTAATACTGAAATCATGGGAACATAGCGGGCTCAGCTTCGGTATGCACCTTGGAAGGCAAAGTTAAGAATGGGGCCTGGGGGGAAAAGACAGTTTTTCCAGGACTGGAAGTACCCCTGGTCATTAACCATGGCCTTGTTTGTTGTAGGTACTTATTACTTGTTGCATGATGAGACAAGTTGGGAATGTAGTCAAAGTTAGTTTCTTTTTTCCATTGCTTCTTATTCCAATGAAAGGCACAGGATCACTACCACTCAGCTAGCTTAGCCCCAAGCTCTACCTTTTGCCTTCCTAGGCTAAAGCCCCCTGCTGAGACCACCCATGGCAAATGGTGACACTTTTTAAAATGTGCCCTTGATCCCTGATTTTAAAACCTGTTGTTTAGATTACTGTCGCCCACAAAATCTAACAATCATAACGGTATGACCCATAGTCAATTTTCAAACACTGAAGTCCTTTTCTTGTCCATCTTGGACTTTATGCAGGAAATACATAACTTCCCCAGGTGGCGACGATAATGAGATGAAACTACTTTCCCCTAAGTCTTCTTTATTGTTACAACGTTGTTAATATCATAAATAAAATTTGGAGGCAAAAGAAAATGGAGAAATCAGAAACCACACTTTTACCTTATTCAGTATTTTTTAAACTGACAAACACGCAAAAGCAGCATCAGTAAGTCAAAGAGCTGTGGTCCAGCTCCACCTTCCCCCATCTGCAGAGGTATAAAAACAGAACCAACATCCGCCTAGAACTGATGCCCAAACTCAAGTCTACCTCCGCGACTGGAGAGGCAGCGCGATTGGCGCTGGCACATTCTCTAGAAACGCCTCACCACGTTCTGCGACGAGGCCGGAAGTGACGCAAAATCTGCGACGCCAGTGCTTGCCTTGGCTGCAGCCTGAGCCCGGCTTCAGTCGCTCCAGGCACAGCGGACTTTCTTCGGATGGTTGCAGCAGAGGGATCATGACGGGGAAGAAATCTTCCCGGGAGAAACGTCGCAAACGTAGCAGTCAGGAGGCAGCCGCGGCGCTCGCGGCCTCAGACCTCGTGCCCGCCCTTGCCAGCGGCGGCAGTGGAAGCACCAGCGGCTGCGGGAGCGTCAGCTGCTGTGGGAACGCCAGCTTCAGTGGAAGTGTCACCGGTGGTGGGAGCGGGGGCAGCTGCTGGGGCGGGAGCAGTGAGCGTCGGAAGCGGAGGAGCACCGACTCATCCTCCAGCGTCTCGGGCTCTCTGCAGCAGGTGCGTGCGCGGCACCCCCTCTGGCCGCTTGTCCCCGAGCTGCTATTTCGGAAGAAGGCTGGGTACTGGCGGGATAGAGTGCCGGCTGGAGCCAACTAATTAACTGCGGCAGTCCCGAGTGTTCACTGGTGCTTGAGGTTGATAGTCCTAAATTCTGGCGAACCTTTCACTCTCATGTCTTGAACTTCTAGTTTCTGGATTTACTGATCAGCTAACTTTTTTTTTTTTTTTAATCTTTTGGCCCCTTCCAATTCTGTGATCTCAGTCTCCTTGAAAAGTATAGGTTGGAAGCTAGTTTTCATTGCCCTGGGGAACCAGACACTTTACTTCTGTCTTGGCCTTCACCTTTTGGTAGATTATGGTTAACTCCACATTGCAGATGAGAAAATTGAGGCCCAAAGAGGTTAAGGAACTTTACCCAAGGTCACAGTTTGTTAATAGCTCCTAGACTTGAATTCGATATCTGGCTCTACAAAAGCCATGCCATTATGCGCCATCAAACTGCCAAGATACCGCTCTCCTAAAGAATAGTTTATAATTTATTATAAAACAAATGAATGAATTATATACTTTAAATTCATTAAATACAGAAATCAAGGGAAAAGCGTGAAGTCCCCCTTCGTGTTTCTGCATTAATGGTTTGTTATGCAGTCTCTTTTTGTTAGCCTTTGATCTGTATATTTAAGTTCCTACACCTAAACTTAAGTGTCATATTCCCCCTATCGAATACCACTGCATTGTTATGATAGGTTTCTTTTTATATGTGGTATATTTTTTAGTGACTGCCTGGTATTCCATTATGTCTTTATTAGTGAATATTTAGGTTTCCAGTTTTTGTTATTACCGTATGAAAACAAACACTTTTGTACATATATCTTGTGTAAGAGTTATGTTAGGATAGAGTTTTAGAAGTGAAATTGCTGGGTCAAAGTTTATGCGCTTAAAAAAAAACTTGGTAGGTGTCACCAGATACTTTCCAAAATTCAAATACTTTTCTGATTTGTAGTCCAAACAGTATCTATATAAGAGAATGCCCATTTTTGCAAATCTTCACTAACATTTGATAATACATTTTTTTAAAAGGTTGCCAGACTAATAGGTCAAATTAATATTGTTTTAATTTATATTTGTATGATTAATAGTGAGATTGATCATTGTTATATTTTTATATGCCATTTAATTTCTTCTTATATAATTTTCTGTACATATCCTCTGCCCATTTTTCTCTTTGGTGATTTTCAGCTTTTCATTGATAGGGTTCTAATATCTTTTCATAAAATCTTGATTCTAATTCTTTGTGTGGAGTATATTGCAAATGTTATGACTTGTTCAGCATATACTGAATTGAAGCCTTTGATTTCTTTCTAGTCAAAGTTAATATTTTTCTTTGCCATCTAGATTTTGTGTGTTGTTTAGAAAGGTCTTTCGTATTCCAGGATCATACAGGATTATAAAAGTATTTTGTGTCTTCTAATGCTTTTTTTTTTTTTTTTTTTGAGACAGGGTCTTGCTTTATTGCTGGGGCTAGAGTCATGTGGCAGCATCATAGCTCACTGCAACTTCAACCTCCTGGGCTTAAGCAGTCTTCCCAACTCACCCTCCCTAGTAGCTGAGACCACAGGCACCACGATGCCCAGCTAATTTTTAAATTTTTTGTAAAGACAGGGTCTCACTATGTAGCTCAGGCTGTTCCTAAACTCCTGATATCAAGCAATCCTCCTGCCCCAACCTCCCAAAGTGCTGGGATTACAGATGTGAGCCACTATGTCTGGCCTCTTTTAATGCTTTTTAACATTGCATTTTAAAATTAGTAGTTGTGGAAGCTTAGACGTCCATTTATTTTTATATATTTTCTTGTTCCTAGCTATACTATTTATTATTAGTTTGAAATTGATTTTCAAAAAAATTTTTGTTAATAATGAGTTCTGTCTCGTTTTTTGGAACTACTATTTTTTTTGTTTGTTTTTTGCATTACCCAGGACTTCTAGTGTAGTATTGAACAGTAGCAGTGATAATAGGCATTCTTTTCAATCTTTTTTAGTGGGAACGTTTCTAATGTTCCAGCAATAAGTATATTTGTCATAGGTTTTGAAAAATGCTTTTGATCAGGTAGGGAAATTTTCTTCAATTTCTAGTTTACTGGAGGTCGTAAAGTTTTATCAGATGGTTTTCTGGCAGTCTGTTGAGATGATCACATAGTTTTTGTCCTTTAATTAGATAATGTAGTTTTATTGATAAATGACTGATAAATTAGTTGATGTTGAATTGTCCTTGCAGTCTTGGGATAAATTCTATTTGGTTTGTTGGGTTGGTTTGTTGTACTTGGCTGGAATTTAATATTCTTACTTTGGTGTAAATGTTTCTAAGTTAGATCATCTTACGGTTGTTTGTTTGTTTGTTTGAGACAGAGTCTCACTCTGTTGCCTGAGCTACTGTACTGTGGCGTCAGCCTAGCTCACAGCAACCTCAAACTCCTGGGCTCAAGCAATCCTTCTGCCTCAGCCTCCCAAGTAGCTGGGACTACAGACAATGTGCCACCATGCCCGGCTAACATCTTACAGTTTTTATTTTTGTTATGGATTGAGTTGGGAGGCTTTGTATTTTTTGGTGTGTTCCAGAAGATTATATATCTTCTTTTCAAATATTTGTCAGAACTTGGCCATTGGGTCATTCAGCTGTCTGGATGTGGTGGGGGTTTTTTAGGGGTGTTTTTTTTTTTTTTCTTTTTTGTTAAACTCTGTTTAAAAAAAAATCCTGTAATAGTTGTAGATCTATTCGCTTATTCCACTCGTTCTAGATTCAGTTTTGGATATCACTATTCTTATCTTAAATGGTTTCTGTATATCTCTATCATCTATCATGATGGGGACACAAATGACATTAAGTATTGAAAACATTTGCTTACAGAACTAAACCTAACTTCTTCTAATGAAAAATAAGTGTATTTATGAGGAAGAAAAAGTTGTTGCATATTAGGGGTGTCAGTAAACATCTCAAACTTTTGAGAGTGCCATGATTCACCCATTTCACCTTTACAGTTAGGTGGTTTGGGGTTGTACAGCCATCTCTACAGTCAATTTTAAAATATTTTCATCACTCCAAAAAGAAACCTTAGGTGTACCTTTTAGCTATCATCCTTAACACTCACTCCCACCCCCAGGTAATCACTGATTTATTTCTTTTCTCTACAGATTTATAGGTTTCCCTGTTCTGGACATTTTATATGAATGGAATCATATAATGTATGGTATTTTGTGTCTGGCTTGTTTCACTTAGCATGTTTTCAAGATTCATCCATATTTTAGCACATAGGTTCATTCTTTTGTAGCACAAAAGTTCATGCCTTTTTATGGCCGTGTAATATTTCATTGTGTGGCTATACCACATTTCGTTTCCATTTATCACTTAATAGACATTTGGGTTGTGTTTACTTTTTGGCTATTATAACTAGCACTTCTATGAATATTTGCATGTAAGTTTTTTTGTGGACATATGGTTACATTTCTCTTGGGTATATATCTAGGAATGGAGTTGTTGGGTCATCTGATAACTTTTTGAGGAACTGACAAGCTGTTTTATTTACAAAGTAGATGTAGCATTTTATGTTCCCACTAGCAATGTATAAGGGTTCCAGTTTCTCTACATTATTACTTTGGAAGCCATTAGAACAAGACTTGACCTTTACTTTTTCAGTCTAAATATCATAGTATTCGTTAAAACTAGCCCATTTTTAAACTGATTTTTAAACAATTCCATTAAAAGATATAACAAACCTACCTGACCTGTATGGTCAAGGATGATTTTCCTGGGGAAATGACTTTTGAATTGCTATTGGAAGTATCTGAATCTGTTGTTAATCTTGTGAGTATAGTGTGGTAGAGGAAGTGGGGAGGAAAGACTGCCTCAGGCAGAACATTATGCAAAAGCTTTGACTGTAGGAGCTGGAGGGAGGAGAACAGGTTATATTTGAGTAATTCAAAGACGATTGTTCTGTCCTGAACACAAAGAATGAGCATGAAGGGCCAGGTAGGCCATATTACCAAAAGAACAATAGGAAGTCATTGAAGGGTTTTAAACAAGAATGAATGAGTAAATATACATTTTATAAAATGCATTCTGCTAATACTATACAAAACAGAGACCTCAGATGAGATGCAGAGATTACAGTTAAATGGCTGTTAATGTAATCCAGGCAAAGATCATGGTAGTTTGGACCAGGATTATGACAGTAGATTGAGAAGGACAGGATAGATCTGGAAAAGCAAAGTTACAATTGACAAAAATGTCCTAAATTACTGATATTATATTACTTGGTAACTTCGAACATGATTAAATAATGCAAAGTTTTTTTTTTAATGGTAATAGCTCCTGGAAAGCATGATAACTTTACTGCATAATATTTGTAACATTTTTACTGCCATTCCATTTCTTTCTATTAATTTAAGTAGAATGACATTGCATATGCAAAGCTTTTGGGTAAATGGCTACCTGAAGGAATATCCTAATTCTTCAGAAGTCTAAAATTGTAGGAAATTCTTCGATATTAGATATATTTTCATTTGTATGTTCTGAAATATTATCTCTTTCCTTGATAGCTACTCCTTGAGTTAATTGCAGTGTGGAGAGTAAATACTGAAAAAATCGAATATTCTTTCTCTTGTTTTAGATAAGTAACTGCAAACAAAGAATTTGGGAATTTTAAATGAAGAATTTATTAAATGAATATATTCTATATATTTTAAGTAGTATTATTTAATGGTTCTTTATTCTTTTAACTTTAGGAAACCAAGTATCTTTTGCCAACTTTGGAAAAAGAATTATTCTTGGCAGAACACAGTGACCTTGAAGAAGGTGGACTGGACCTGACTGTGTCATTGAAACCAGTTAGTTTCTATATATCAGACAAAAAAGAAATGCTTCAACAGTGCTTCTGTATTATAGGAGAGAAGAAGTTACAGAAGATGCTTCCTGATGTGTTAAAGGTGCTTCATTACATGTATTATCAGATATATAGGCATATATTGAAATACAACCTTCTGTAGTAATCCTTTTACTCACAGCAGTCTATAATTGGATATTTTCACCTAAAACAAGCTTCTTGAAAAGATATAAAAAAGGGATTTTGGAGAACCATGAACAGATTTGTATATTTAAAAATTTGCTAAGAAAAATGCTTAGGCAAGAAATTTCTTGACGCTAGGGAAATAATTCTGTTAAATACAGGCAATGGTAGTAACTAAATTGAAGGTGTAATGAAGCTTTCTGGTGCTTTAAGAAATAATATGATATTCTGCTGTGTAACAAAACACAACAATGGTTGGCAATAGCTTATATTTCTTTAAATTTACAAGTGTTTTTATATATTTATTTTTAAAAATTATTTAGGGGCCGGGCGCTGTGGCTCACGCCTGTAATCCTAGCTCTTGGGAGGCCGAGGCGGGCGGATTGCTCAAGGTCAGGAGTTCAAAACCAGCCTGAGCAAGAGCGAGACCCCGTCTCTACTATAAATAGAAAGAAACTAATTGGCCAACTGATATATATATATATAAAAAAAAAGTAGCCGGGCATGGTGGCGCATGCCTGTAGTCCCAGCTACTCGGGAGGCTGAGGCAGGAGGATCGCTTGAGCCCAGGAGATTGAGGTTGCTGTGAGCTAGGCTGACGCCACGGCACTCTAGCCTGGACAACAAAGTGAGACTCTGTCTCAAAAAAAAAAAAAAATTATTTAGGGAAATATATGTTATTCTGATTTGATAATTGTGGAAATAGGCTTTGGAAAAGTTAAACCCAAGATCATATATCTAATGTTTATAGAGCCAGGACTTGAATATTTAAACCTTTAGGATAATTATCTAACGTAAATATACTACTATTAAGAATGCCTGGGAAAATGACTTACTCTTTAATTTGTTCTTTCATAATAAGCATGACTTTATTTCCACTAAATCCCTAAAATGTTCACATACTAACTGACAGTTTTTCAGATTTCATCCCATGAAAAGATTTATGTGAATCTACTTTAGGCTTTAATTTGTTTTATTAAGATTTTGCTAACTGGAAATTTTTGTGATTGCAATTTTCCAGTTTACATTGGAGCTGTATTACATAAATGCCTTTTCTTTTTTTAATGTCATTTGCTTTAGAACTGTTCAATAGAAGAAATTAAAAAACTGTGCCAGGAACAGTTAGAGCTTCTGTCTGAAAAAAAAATCTTGAAGATTCTTGAGGGTAAGATGCATATTTGTACATTCTGAGAATTTATTAGTTAATACTATTAATATATTCAGCATAAATCCTGTGGTATTCTTTCTCTTACTTGGATATTACTTTAATTTCATTATTGGATATTCATTGAAGAGTAGTTTTACTTCTATTTGTACTGAGAAATATAGTTTATATATCAGAATGGCATTTCAAGAGTAGACTTGATGTATAGTTTTTCCAAAACAACTGTATAGGTAAGAGCATAAGTAATAAAATGAAATAACAAAATTTACCAAAAATTAACTATTGAGAAGGCAAAGATTTTCCTTAAAATAATTTTTTAGGGCTGGGTGCTGTGGCTCACACCTGCAATCCTTGCATTTAGGGAGGCCAAGGCAGGAGGGTTGCTTGAGCTCAGGAGTTCAGGACCAGCCTGAGCAACATAGTGAGACCCATCTATACAAAATAATAGAAAAATTATTGGAGCATAGTTGTGTGTGCCTGTAGTCCCAGCTACATGGGAGGCTAAGGTGGGAGGATTGCTCGAGCTTAGGAGTTTGAGGTTGCAGTAGGCCGTGAGCTATGAGCTAAAAAAAAATTTTTTTTTAAATTTTCTGCTTTATAATTTTTATATAATAGCTTTTAGTTACCAGTTACACACTGTTTCTGCTCTAAAAAGACCCACATGCAGAGATTGAATAATTCCTTGCAATTTGCCAACATTTATATGTCTGCCTGAAGCATGATTACTCTTTGTGATACTGATACCTTTAGAATTTTGGATTTTCAGCCATTTTTTTCTTTTGGAACTTTGCAAGGATTTTAGCATTAGCATCACAGAAGAAGAAACAAAAAATGGAGGCTTTCACTTTCCAGAGATAACTTCATTTTTAAATATAAAATGGATTTATGGAATTTTGTAACTCTGGAACAGATGTATACGTATGTGTATAGTGTGTAAGTATATATATGCACATTATTGGTGTGTATGTGTGTATATATATATATAGATAGATAGATAGATAGATAGATAAAGATAGATATTCTTGTGTATTTATATAGATAATGGGAAGGCAATGAGAAATACCTAATAAGGCATTGAAAAAACTCATTTTTTAAATAAAAGCAATTAAAAAGGTAATCTTTTAACAACTATAAAGTTCCTTAATGTGCATCACTTTTAAAGATGAGTGGTTTTTTATGCAATGATTAAATCATTTTTAATTTTTTTTTCTGTAAGCATGCTTTTAATAATTTCATTTATTAGGTGACAATGGACTGGACTCTGATGTGGAAGAGGAGGCAGATGATGGCTCTAAGATGGGATCTGATTTAGTCAGTCAGTGAGTTAAAAAAATCTTCATTTTTATTTCAGAATTTCTTTGTTACTCCTTTGGTGATTTCTTATGTCAAGGATGTGATTGTTTTTCTGTGTATTATTTATAAAATAATGTGGTATAAAAGGATTGATTTGTTTACTTATTATGATTGGTCCTTTTGGTATATATGAGGATGGACTTAAATGCTTTTAGGATTAAGATGATTTTCTTGGCCAGGTGGTGGCTCATGCCTGTAATCCCAGTACTTTGGGAGAATTGCTTGCTCAGGAGTTCAAGACCAGCCTGAACAAGAACATGACCCTGTTTCCAAAAAAGAAAAATTAGCCATGCATAGTGGTGCGTTCCTGTAGTCCCAGCTACTTGGGAGGCTGAGGCAGGAGAATCGCTTGAGCCTCCAGCAATTGAATCACAGGAGTTTGAGGTTGCAGTGAGCTGTGATGACACCATTGCACTCTAGCCTGGGCAACAGAGTGAGACACTGTCTCAAAAATAAAAAAAAAAAACAAAAACATTTTCTTAAACTACTATACATAGATATAGAACAATAGCAATGTCATCCTGAAGCAGAATTATAGCTCTTGTTTGGATTTTAAATATACTATTCATAATACCCACTATTTATTTTTATTTTGTTTTGTTTTGTTTTAATTTATATTATGTCAGTGTCTTACTCTGTTGCCCAAGTTGCAATGTGGTGGCACCATGACAGCTCACTGTAGCCTTGATCTCCTGGGCTCAAACAATCCTCCTGCCTTAGCCTCCCAAGTAGCTAGGATTATAGGTATGCGCCACCATGCCAGGCTAATTTTTAAAATTTTATAGAGATGGAGTCTTTAGGTATTTTGCCCAGGCTGGTCTTGAATTCCTGGCCTCTAGCCATTTTCCCACCATGGCCTCCCAAAGTGCTGGGATTATAGGTGTGAACCACTGCACCCATCCCTACTGTTTTCTATTTATTTTATTTTATTTTTATTTTATTTTATTTTATTTTATTTTATTTTTATTTTTATTTTTTTTACTCTGTTGCCTGGGCTAGGGCATCAGGGTAGCTCACAGCAACCTCAAACTACTCCTGGGCTAAAGCTATCCTTCTGTCTCAGCCTCCCGAGTAGCTGGGACTACAGGCATGTGCCACCATGCCAGGCTAATTTTTTCTATATATTTTAAGTTGGCCAGTTAATTTTTTTCTATTTTTTTTTTTTTTTTAGTAGAGACAGGGTCTCTTGCTCAGGCTGGTCTTGGTCTTGAACACCCAAGCTCAAACAGTCTGCCCACCTTGGCCTCCCAGAGTGCTAGGATTACAGGCATGAGCCACCGCGTCCGGCTGAATTCTTCTACATATATATTAATGTTAGGTGATAATAACCTCATTTTACAGATGAGATAGCAAGGTTCATTTTATACAGGTATACATATTATACCTATAAGTGTATATAATTTGATTATTGTGATAAAAATGCCTGTGGTTTTGGGATACTGACTAATCAAGAAGCAACATGTCAATTATTATTTTTCTGCTCTATCAGTGCATATCAAACTTTAATCCACTAATTTTAGCATTTGTTGGTGATTTTTGCCTAAAATAATTGTTTTGGTAGTTTCCAGTCTTTCTTTGCAAAGCTTGGCACTTTTCCTGAAGAATAAAAAAAGATTTGTGCTACAAGTAGTAGTAGCACAAATAAGAAGAGATTACCAGAGGCAGTAGTATAAATAAATAGTACATATTTTAGCTGAAATCTAGAATTCTTTCATTTCTAATAGAATACTTGTGGATAGGCTGAGTGCAGTGACTCAAACCTGTAATCCTAGCACTTTGGGAGGCTAAAGTGGGAGGATCATTGAGGCCTGTAGATCAAGACCAGCCTAAGCAACTTAGTGAGACCCCTGTCTGTACAAAAAATTAAAAAATTAGCTGGGTGTGGTGGCATAGGCCTATAGTCCCAGCTACCTGGGAGGCTGAGGCAGGAGGATCACTTGAGCCCAGGAGTTTGAGGTTGCAGTGAGCTATGATAATGCCATTGTACACTATGCCTTGGCAGTTTTTTGAGACCTTGTCTCAAAAAAAAACAAGAATGCTATTGGGTATCACTAAAAAAGGACAATTTTTTTTTTTTTTTAATAGAGTTAGGCTCTCCCTTTGTTACCGAGGCTGGAATGTAGTGGCATGATCATAGTTCACTGCAGCCTGGAACTCTTGGGCCCAAATAATTCTTCCGCCTCAGCCTCTAGAGTAGTTGGGACTACAGGTATGTACTACCCAGCTAATTTTTTTATTTTTTGTAGAGACAGAGGTCTCACTATGTTACCCAGGCTGATCTTGAACTACTGGCCTCAAGTGATCCTTCCACCTTAGCCTCCCAAAGTGCTGGGATTACAGGCATGAGCCACTGTGACCAGCCATACAAGAACAATTTTATGTTACAATTGTAGAGAGCTTCAAATTATCTACCTCTACTGAAGCATTGAAAAGCTAGCACTATATTGCTTGGCTGCCTCATCATAATCAGATTTTGGTCATTACATACACCTTACTTAGGAATGCCATAGGGTGATTTATATCTTAAAAACAATAGAAAATGTGTACATTTTTAATGTCTTACTATTTGCTTTCCTTCAAAATACTTAGCTTGAGGGGCAGGGCATGGTAGCTCCTGCTTGTAATCCTAGCACTCTGGGAGGCCGAGGCAGGAGGATCGTTTGAGCTCAGGAGTTTGAGACCAGCCAGAGCAAGAGCGAGACCCCGTCCCTACTAAAAATAGAAAGAAATTAGCTGGACAACTAAAACTGTATAGAAAAAATTAGCCAGGTATGGTGGTGCATGCCTGTAGTCCCAGCTACTTGGGAAGCTGAGGCAGTAGGATTGCTTGAGCCCAGGAGTTTGAGGTTGCTGTGAGCTAGGTTGACTCCATGGCACTCTAGCCCAGGCAACAGAGTGAGATTCGATCTCAAAAAACCCCCAAATAAATAAATAAAATAGAAAGGAAAAAATGAAACTGTCCCTATTCACCGCAGACATGACCATCTATGTAGAAAATTTCAAGGAATCTACAAAAAAAACCAACAAAACCTAGAATGCATGTGATAGAATATGACGTCTCCTAGAGATATCCAAGTCCTAATTCCCAATATTTGTGAATTTATATGTTAATTTATTAATTTATATGTTAATTTGCTTAAGTATGTACATGTAAAAACCAGAAGGGACTCTACTGGTATGTTAAGGATTTTAAGATTGAAAAATTATCCTAGATTATCAAGGTGGGACCAGTATAATAAGGATCCTTATATGAGGTAGTAAAAAGATCAAACAGAAAGAGATGGATGATTGAAACAGAGAGAGGAATGACATACTTTGAAAGTGGAGGAAGGAGTCGCAAGCTAAGGAATGTAGGTAGCCTTTTAAAAGGTGGAAAAGACAAGGAATAGATTTTCAAGGAATACAATACGACCTACACCTTGATTCTGGTTCCCTAAGACTCTTTTTGGACTTAAAACCTTCAGAACTGTATGAAAATAAATGTTGTTTTAAGGCACCAAATTGTGGTAATTCGTTAGAGTTTATCCTTGCTATCAACTGAGACATACACCTTTATTTTTTTAATGAAAAAACAATTTCAGATGTGTCTAGATAAAGCAATCTGTTATTAAAAATATATGAAAAATTGGATGTTTTCTTTTAATGGGCAACCTATGCTCTTTTATCGTATATGTGTATGGTAGGTATTTAATATGCCATATATATGTTAATTTCCTTATAACCCATTAAAGATTTTAAGGTACAATATATTCAAATTGTATTTCTCCTCTAAGATTAGCTTTCAAATATGTTTTTCTTTCCAAACTTCTCTGATGTCTATTGCTGTTTAAAATATTGTATGTTTACTCTGATCTAACATTAAAATAGCTCTTTTTTACTACTAAAAATAACAAGAAAATAGTAGTTAAAAGAAGTTTGTGACAGCGTGCTACTTTGAAACTTAATGAGTGTTAACTTATGATAGTTTTAATGGGCATAAGATTTAGGAACTTTGAAGATTCAACATCCATAGTGTCTAAATATCTTCATTTTTTAAAAAGGTGAGAAAAGTGATCTCATGGAGGTAGTAAATAGAATGGTGGTTACCAGGAAGGGAGGGGTAATACGGAGGGTTAAGGAGGGGTTGGTTAATGGGTACAACGATATATGGAAGGAATAAGTTCCAGTGTTCGATAGCACAATAGGGTGACTCTAGTTAACAATAATATATATTTTATTCAAAATAGCATAGAAGATTTGGGAAGTTCTCAGCACAAAGAAGTGATTAATGTTTAAGGTGATGGATATCCCAGTTACCCAGATTTGATCATTACACATTGTATGCTTGTATCAAAGTATCACATGTACTCCATAAATATGTACAACTATTAATATATATCCATAAAAATTTTAAAAATAAAAGTGAAGACTGGGATTGTCACCTTAGGAAAGCAAATGAGCAAATTTGTATTGCAGGTAGTCTATAAAAACTTTATCATGTATAATTTTTGTAGTGTTTTAAAACTATTAAGAATTGTGATAAGATTTGTAAAAGTTACAGATTAAGATAAATTGCTTAACAGCAACAACAACAATTTTAAGTAAAGTAATATGGAGGCCTGAAATTACAAGTGCTGTTTCCATTTGGGCTGAATAGAAAGATTTTATTGTAGTTAAAATAGCACTAAAACTGAGAACGGGTATTAGTTTGGCCTATATATGTTAGATGATTATGCTCTAAAGAATGTGTTTATAATGAAATTTAAGTCTTGAATAGTGCAATAAAATAGTCAGGGTTGAGATTTTATCTGTAAAGAATAAAGGAATAAATACTTCAGGGAAATCTTAGCAGTGCTTTAGAATTGCTCTCTATATTATCTTTTTATGAATTTTAAATGAATATGCTTTTACTGAGTGATATTGAGGGAGATTTAAGTGTTAATGAAGCTGGATTTTCCTAAAGATGATAAGTGGTGTTGAGATGATA